AGTGCTCCTCGGCCTTACGTTATACCTTGCGGCAAATCCATAGAGATCTTCCAGCGGACGCCATCTTCGGCGAGGGCCGCCTATGGTTAGGCGCGCTTCCGAAAGGGGAATCCAGCTTTACGTAAAGTCAGACCTCGTGCGTTTCATGTCACCGACCGCTCGCATGTAACGGAGCCATCTGTTGTTGTTCTCGTACCGTTCATCGGGGGGGTCAACCGTATCGAACTCGACTGAACCGAACCAAGCACTAGACGTTTCTTAGCTGCCATCGCGTCCTTGCCCTATCCTTGAACGTAGCCGAATTACCGGCGTCCCCAAGCCTACCTCGAGTCACTCGTTCACGGCCTCGTGCATCAAATCACCTTGGCATCAACGTGTCGGAGCCTCGACCGCACAGACCTCCCTTGCGTGCCACTTTTCCCATCCCAGAGGGGATCTATTGGATCGCCCACCCCGCCGCATTCTAGTCTACAGGGTTCTTTTAGTTACTGCCCGTCCCAGGTCGTCACGCGCAGTATTGCAAGATGGGCAGTCAATGGAGTAAAGCGTTGGGTGAGTCGGCGGTGCCAAAGGAACTCTTCGCAGCGCCAGAGCGATCGCGCGGTTCCATACACACTACTGACCCTCAAACAGGGAAGATCTTTGGCAACAAGGAGATGCGGATCCTCATGCTGGGACTGGATGCTGCCGGAAAGACGAGTGGGTGTCGCTTCTTGTTTGACGCGTGCCCTGTGGGGGGCTGGAGCGTAGACACTGCGTCTCACACGACTTGAAGCTACATCCAGCGCTCGTTTGTTGGCATGACTGACCCGCTCGTAGCGATCTTGTACAAGCTCAAGCTCAACCAATCGGTGACGACCATCCCTACGGTCGGCTTCAACGTCGAGACAGTCACATATAGAAATGTGAAATTCAACGTTTGGGTATGTGCATACGAGCAATGTCGAAGCGTGGCTGAGCTGAACGGCTGCTCAGGATGTCGGAGGACAAGACAAGATCCGACCGTTATGGAGGCATTACTACACCGGTACACAGGTAGGCTTCGCTGGGGTCAGATCTGCTGTTTTCTGCTGACACCTTCTCTCCCCATCCCCCAGGGACTCATCTTTGTGATTGACTCTGGCGACAGGGACCGAATCGACGAGGCGAGACTAGAGCTTGAGCGGATTTTGGCCGATAGGGAGATGAGGGACTGCCTCTTGATGGTGTTTGCCAACAAGCAGGATATACAAGGCGGTGAGTACTTGTCTACTTGGCCAGGTGTGTTTATCGGAACGTGCTGACTGGAAATTCAGCCATGTCGCCCGCGGAGGTGACCGAACGATTGGGTCTGCACAAGATGCGTGAGAGGTCGTGGTATGTGCATCCGAGGTGAGTTTGAGGTATGACCGGCGCTGGAGGGCAAACCTGGAAGCGAACGCGGGGCTAGCAGGTTTGGACAGCGCTGATCACCGCTATCAGCTGCGCCACGACGGGAGAAGGTTTGTTTGAAGGCCTCACATGGCTGTCAAATAACGTCAAGGGCAAGGCATAGAGTGGTCCCACGCTGCCTATCAACCAACGCACGGATGCGTACCGCGCCGAGTCCAGCGGTATAACCCCCTCGAGTAGCCGCTCGTATCCCATTCGCTTTCGCTTTTACCGGATTTCATACCTTATAGTAAACTGTTGCTCCCTCTCTGCCATAAGCGATACCCTTGTGGACGCCGATACCTGTCTTGTCGAGCATTCTGGCCTATGAGACTTGGTCTTTCAGTCATGCATGCGGGTTGTTCTATGGTTGCGCGCCCTCCGTGCCAGGGCCATGAAGCGCCGTCCGGACCTCCTATGTGACATCGAACAGCATACTCATGCTTGAGTCATCCTACGTAGTGACTCATGTCTCTCACACGTAGTGTGCAGTCACTGTGCAGCGAAACCATGCCACATCGCCGGCATAATAATCTCGAAACGCGCTTCCTGGGCCCCGCGATCGGTACCGATCAGCTGCTCTCCAGGTTGACGTGGCCGTTGCCGCTGTCAACGGCGTGGGTCTACGCTAGACCATGCACGGTTAGTACCCCTTGGGATACCACCACTGACGTACTTGATATCATCAAGATACTTTGGACCGATGCGTCATTTCGACCCCGCGCGGTCCTGGCAGTCCTAATAGGTCTCGCAAGAAACGTCCGAAAGCAGACAGACGTCACGGTGTTGGCATCAAAATTACCATACAAGGGATGGGACAAAAGTCGGTAATGTTGTCAGGCCGCTCGATTGATGTCATGCGAGGAGGCATGAAAGCATGCGAGTGGGCGAAAATCCCGTCGTCGACGCTGTGGGATTACTTGCCAGATCGGTCTTGGGGTCCAGACTCCACCTTCCTGCTAAGGCAGTTCCCAAGCTCGGTTTTCCAGGTGGTAGATGACGGCAATTGAAACTGGTAAGGGTGCCAGTCATCGGATAGAGCGTACGGGAGCATGAGACTTGATACGTCATTCCTGCAGTTCACTCCCTGGCGTCCATCCGGTTCACCCGGTGGGGCACGGCAGCAGGGGCAGCAGGGCAGCAGGTCAGCAGAGGGGAGGGATGCAGCAGGACCAGGTTCGGGTTCAGGGTAACCGACTCGCTGATGAAATGACCAGCCACAGGATCGACCCTTTTCTCACCGTACCGTCTGTACCCTCGCTCGCTGGACATTACACCCCACCCACACCCACCCCCTCGACATCATCCATACCTCGTTCATACCCATCCATCCGACGCTTTCATCTCTGTCCTTCTACTGACACCAATATAATACTCATTCAGCTTTCTCGCGCTATCACCTGTACACACACACTCGCCCACCACCGAGCGTAACAGACCTGTCAAGCTAAGGCCATCTTTGAATCGCTCAAGCCACCTCTCACCAACCAATCTCAACCTTTCTATCTCACCACCCCGACACCGCTGTACAACCGTTCAAGATGGTATCACCGGCGTTCCCTGGCATGTTCTTCTGCTTCTGCGCGGTCGCTTTACTAGTATTCGGTAAGTGACCTCGACACGCAGGCCTGTGTTGCATCCCCAAAGCTGACACTCTTGACAGCGTCCGTCTCACCCCCCGCATGGGACAAGGTCGACTTCCTCCACGTCAACACCACTGCCGGACGGATCGTCTACGGAGTGTTCGGATACTGTGTCGAGGGAGGCCAGTGCAGCAGGAGATCGATCGGTTACGGCCTGAACGCGGCCGGTATTGAGTGAGTGCGGCACTCTCTCTGACCCACGGCGTCAGCTGACCATCCCCCCTACAGCACCTCTGGCCTCCCCGGCGTCCTCCACAACCTCACCTACACCCTCATTCTCCACCCCATCGCCGGTGGCTTCGCCTTCTTCGCCCTCGTCTTCGGTCTAATCGGTACCGCCGCCGCCTCGCGAGTCGCCACCATCTTCATGGCCATCCTCGCCTCCATCGGCGCCCTCATCACCCTCGTCATCTTTGTCATCGACATGGTCCTCTGGAACGTCCTCAAGAACCGACTCCAGGACCAGGGATACTCGGCCGGTCTCGGAAACGCCAACTGGCTCACCGTCGGTGCCCTCGGCGCCCTCCTCCTCGCCATGTGCACCTCGACCTGTGGCGCCTGCGGAAGATTCGCTTCCGGCAGGAACGCGGGGGAGAAGTACTAAGCAGCAACGTGAGCCCGTCATCTTCGCTCCTCGTCGACGCCATCGACCAGAGGATTTGAAGGGGTTTTTTCCGCTCTCGACCCTTATGGACCTTTGACCTTTTCCGATTCTTATCAACATTACCCGTTCTGCAGACGGCTTTTACCCGATTTTATAATATACACGACGCCCGCCGCGGTCTCAAAGGGCTCTTTCACACTCCGATCGCGACGCTGCGGCGGAGAGTAGGCGAGAGGGACGGAAGACATGGTTTATAATACTAGATGTGGCATGGGGATGAGTGATGGGCGTGGCGTGTCGTGGTGGGGGTCGAATGCAGATGTGAACTGTGCCACCTGGCCTGCGTTGCGAATTCGTTGTATACTGACAGCGCGTGTTCTCATTGGCTTACTGATACACCTCTTTATGCGCGTGCGACGTGCATATCAAGCCGTCATTAGACCATGTTGGCCTGAAACGCTTTCTTACTCAACGTTTCAACACTCAATAGACCACACACGGTCAACGGTTGAATCTCCAAGGGGCAGTCGCTCTCCACGGCATAACCCCGAGCTCGACGAAGAGCGGTTTCCCGTGGCCTATGGCGTGGGTCAATCCAAGCGAGACGCTTTTGCTCGGGGGTGTAACTGTCTGCAAGTAGCCCAAGTAAATCTAGTATCATGGCGTCATCCTTTGAACCGACTAGAGCAGGGGCTGTGCGTCGTTCTGCCTAAGCACAGGGACAGACGTAGCTGCATGCAGCGGTGACTGTTCGCATCATCCCTATCTCGCCGGGCAGGCTAGTGACGGCTAAGAAGCGCAGCCCAGCTTCTCTCTATTGGTGAAGACGAGTGAACAGCTTCGCCCTCGCCCTCCTGATCATCGGTCAGTCCTCCGTGACCCGTTGAACAGCGGAAACTATCCACCCCTGCTTGCTACCACGTTCTGCCCTGGACTGCACGTTCACGCTGTCTTGCGTTTCGACGCTTTGAACATTAAGGGCTACCAGCGCGGACGCGGCGACCACAAGGGCGTCCATGCCCAAGAAGCCTCGCTCACAGCTGGACTCTGTTCAAGTCTTGGATGACGATCAGGGTCTTATGGGACCCTCTCGTCTAACCAATACAGTGGAGCACAATGGTCCACTCGCTCGCTGCCCGCTTCGATAGCTAGCACGCCGGCTTACACACGCAAAAACAAACAGACCTCGATCTGTGCGCCATGCGGTCTTCGGCGCACTCGTCAGTGCTAGAATGCTCCTCTCACAAAAATCCTGCCATATCGGACACTGTCGGCTCGAACGAGCATCGAAGCGTAGGAGCAAGGAGATAACAGGCCTGACACGCAAAAAGCACAAAAACAAATGCCTTCTACCCGAATTGAACGGGTGACCCTGTCATTGCAACCGGTGATTAACCGAGACTACTAGTGACAAATTCTAAACCACTGAACTAAGAAGGCCGATGTTTCAGCTTTTTGTTTTGCTATATATACGTACTCCAAGAATGCTGCCTTGGACAGGCTTTACCACAGGCCTCACTCGACGCACCTCCTCCTCAGGCCATTCTCCATGCATGCACCACTCTATCGGAGACCTTCTGCTCCTCGCAGAAGCCCGGGTCAAGCCTCAGCGAGGCATACGGCCATGACCCGATGTATAGGACCAGTCATGATGTCTGAAAATGCCACACTCCGCAGACGCGCCGTTCCACGTCATGTCACGGTCGCAGCCGGTTCGGCGCATCTTGCCTGTCGTCGGTCACATTCCTGCATCGGCTGGAGGTATTGTACGAGCCGTACATAGCATCCTCGCCCATATTCTCGGCTTACCCGCCCTCATCCGGCCTCAGTGCGAAAGTGGTCTCGTCGGTCGTTCCGTCTACGGTCTCTACCTGCACCTAGCGCACGATGGCACCCAAATCAAAGGCCAAGTCGGCCACGCCTCAACCCGCCAGCACTCCCACTCTCACTCCTCAAAAGTCCTTCGCGGAGACGAGCACGACCGAGACCGCTGAACCAGTGGTCCGTGTCACTCCTGCCGCATCGTCACCTGTCCCTGCAGCGGACGAGGAGCTGCCAGCTGGCGATGCTCCGAATGGAAAACCCAAGAAACTGGCCTACCCTCTGCCTACCCACATCTCTCCCACGACGATCAACAACACTCAATCGTTACTGAGATTCGTTATCCTCGCTTTGATCTGCGGCGCAGCCATCGGCAGTCGTCTGTTTGCGGTGATAAGGTTTGAGAGTGTCATCCACGAATTCGACCCATGGTTCAACTTCCGAGCTTCCAAGGTGCTCGTCAACGATGGTTTCTACGTGAGTGCCGATGGATCGCGACAGCGCCATGCTTCTCCCGCTCGCGGCTCACACGGAGATATTTTAGGAATTCTGGAACTGGTTCGATCCGTCAGCTTGGTACCCCCTCGGTCGAACGGTCGGCACCACCCTCTACCCCGGCCTGATGGTCACGTCCGGTCTCATCTGGCACGCTCTGCGTATGATCAACATGCCCGTGGACATCAGGAACGTTTGTGTCCTGCTTGCGCCCGGGTTTGCCGGGTTGACCGCTTGGGCGACCTATCTGTGAGCGCTTCACCCTACAGTTCTCGAGCGAAAGCTGATGGAGACCCTTCAGCTTCACCACCGAGATGTCCACCCCTTCCGCCGGTCTGCTCGCGGCGGCCTTCATCGCTATTGCTCCTGGATACATCTCTCGATCCGTCGCTGGATCCTACGACAACGAAGCCATTGCCATTTTCATCCTCATGGCCTCGTTCTACTCCTGGATCAAGGCGCTCAAGACGGGTAGCTCGCTTTGGGGAATGCTCACCGCGCTGTTCTACGGCTGGATGGTGGCCGCCTGGGGTGGTTACGTTTTCATCACCAACAGTGAGCCTGTCCAGCCAAGTTCTCGCTTCAATCACGCTGACGTCTCCCAGTGATCCCCCTCCACGCCTTCGTGCTCATCCTTATGGGACGATTCAACAACCGGCTCTACACCGCCTACTCGTCATGGTACGCGATCGGTACCATCGCTTCCATGCAGGTACCGTTTGTCGAGTTCTTGCCCATCCGAACGTCCGAGCACATGGCCGCTTTGGGTGTATTCGGCTTGTTGCAGCTTATCGCCTTTGTCGAGACTATTAGGCGACTGGTTCCCGGCAAGCAGTTCCAGCTGCTGCTTCGAGCCTTTGTTGTCGCCGTGTTCGTGGTCAGCTTCGCGGCACTTGTGGTTTTGACCTTTTCCGGCTGGATCGCACCTTTCGCTGGACGATTCTACTCGCTCTGGGACACGGGATATGCCAAAGTCCACAGTGAGTCGAGTGTTTTTAGGGGGAGACATATACTTGCAGCGCTGATTCTGTGCAGTGCCTATCATTGCATCCGTTTCTGAACATCAGCCCACCGCCTGGCCATCGTTCTTCTTCGACCTTGAGATGCTCATCTTCTTCTTCCCTGCCGGTGTCTTCTGGTGCTTCAAGGAGTTGCGAGACGAACAGGTCTTCATCATCATCTACGCCACCCTCTCGGCCTACTTTGCCGGTGTGATGGTCCGACTGATGTTGGTCATTACCCCTGTCGTTTGCGTCGCCGCTGCCATTGCCTTTTCCAAGCTACTCGAGGCATATATCGACCCCGTCATTCCCGAGTCCGAGGACGAGATCGAGCAGGCGACCAACGCCCAGCCCATGTCCAAGAGCAAGGCCAAGAAGATCGCATCTGCGCAGAACAGCAAATCAGAGTTTGGCTTCTCCGGCATCCTCGGTGGAAAGGGCACCAAGGGCATCTTTGGCCTCGACACGCGTTTCGCGGTCATCTCGGTCCTGTCCCTGTTCCTCTTCCTCTTTGTCTACCACTGCACGTGGGTCACCTCGACCGCCTACTCGTCCCCTTCCGTCGTCCTCGCGTCTAGAAACCCGGACGGTAGCCAGAACATCATTGATGATTTCCGAGAGGCGTATTACTGGCTCCGACAGAACACCGAGAAGGACGCCGTGGTCATGTCCTGGTGGGATTACGGCTACCAGATCGCGGGTATGGCCGACAGGCCTACCCTGGTCGACAACAATACCTGGAACAACACGCACATTGCCACGGTCGGCAAGGCCATGTCGTCCAGCGAGGACGTGGCGTATCCTATCCTGAGGAAGCACGACGTCGACTACGTCCTCGTCATCTTTGGTGGACTGCTCGGATACTCTGGAGACGACATCAACAAGTTCCTGTGGATGGTCAGGATCGCCCAGGGAGAGTGGCCCGACGAGGTTCAGGAGGTCAACTACTTTACCCAACGGGGAGAGTACGCCGTCGACGACCGGGCCACGCCCACCATGAAGAACTCGCTCATGTACAAGATGAGCTACTACCGCTTCCACGAGCTGTATGGCGGTCACCCCGCCCAGGACAGGGTCCGAGGTCAGACCATCCCCTCGGCAGGGATCCAGCTCGACACGCTGGACGAGGCCTTCACCTCTGAGAATTGGATCGTGCGGATCTACAAGGTCAAGAAGGAGGATCCCATCGGTCGCGAGCACAACGCCGTGTCTGCTTGGGAGAGTGGCAAGAAGCTCAAGAGGAGCGCGAGCTCGGGCGCAGCTGCCGGAGCAGGGAAGAAGGGCAGGCCTAGTATGTAAACGAGGTAGATGATGAGATGGCTAGATGCATACAGAGTGTTCGCGCGGTGAGTACGGTGCGTGTGCCAGCAGCTATTGTGCCCTGTGTGTGCGGTAGTGCGGTAAGAAGGCAGAGTGACATGCGCTATTAGAGGTTGCGGGTGGTATTGAATGTCCATGATGCTGATGGGGGACAATGTCGGGAAGAACCAACAAGATCGAGCTTGCGGGCTTATGATCATATGATAGACCTCCGACCAAAGAACCCTACAAAGCCACGACAGCGCCAACACCGACCAGCAGGATCGAGGCGCCCAATTCAGTGAGCAAAGCGGTCATCCCGTCAAACCGGGGCATAGCGTCAGAAGCGGGCGCGCTGCTCGTCACGGCGGTCGGGAACGGGTTACTCCTGCGGAATGTGTCAGCTTGGACGTGGCGAAGGGCGACGTTCCAGTGCCAAGCTCACGTCGATGCCTGACTCTGAGCGTTGGGGATGTTGCCCGTGGCGGAACCTGCTGTGGACGAAGCGCCTGAGGTGGTACTGGTCGTGACTGGTTTGAGTGAGCGGATGCGTATCGCTCAGTGACCCCGTCCATAGCTCACTCTCTCCATCTGCGATCTCAAACGGGTCGGAAGTGGCAAAGACTTGAGCCTCGTTGGTGGTATTGACAAAGTTGACAATGTATCCTTTGCTGGAGGCGTGTCAGCGTGGCGTAGCACAGGTGGATGGCTGCGTCGACGAAAGCTGCGACAAGACTCACCCGGCCGGAGACTGGCCGAGGAGGACACGGACGTAGTCTGCCGTCGCATTGGCTGCGCGTCGCAAATGTCAGCCGCCGTAGCGGACTACCTGTCAACGGGATGGCCCACTCACTACTGTCAGCGATGCTGTGGTTGCCCTGATACAACGACTGGTCCTGGCTTGACAGATACGCCCGGAAGAGGTACGTGTCGGTCGTGGGATCGGTCCTGGTCCAATTCATGCTGACCGTGTCGTTCTTGTACCTGCCAGGGGAAGTAAGCACTGGGGCACTTGGCCGTGCCATGAAAGGTACGTTATCGCTCACCATACGGTCTGGGAGTTGGGATAGAGAATGGATAAGGCGGCTGTGCGGTCGGTTGATGAGTCAGACTGGTTCCCAGGTCTGAGCAGTCTGCTCACCTTGGGCCGAAGAGGCCAGTGCGAGCGAAGCCACTACGAGCTTGGCGAACATGACGGGCTTCTGGACGAGGGATTGGGTGTTATCCACGGCGTGCTACTCGGACGCTCGCCTTGTAAGCTGAAGAGACTGAGACAAGAAGAACGATCAGAGATAGAGGAGCGGCTTGCCACCGAGGCGGGTCTCAGTCTACCCCGTGGGAAAAGGACGTGGACGTGTCAAAGGGACGCTGCATGAACACGGTCTGTATCTGGCTGATCAGATGCGTAGGCGATGGACATCCAGGCGGTGCGCGTGCATCGTCGGGTGTACTCCACAGCCTCCATGCATGGCCACGATGAGCACCCGGTAACCTCTCGACGCGCCTTGCTTTGGTGAGTTCTTGGCAACAGCAGCGACACGGCCGTGTTCATCCATCAACCACGTGTTGAACATGTGCTTCTCCCTCTCAACTCGCCAGATCGCCCCTTAAACATTGGGATGGAGGTGGATGAATGCGATAGAGAGTGACAGGAGAGAGTCAAGTGGGGTACAGCTGATCTGGGTATCCGCTCATCGCCCACTCGCCACCGAGGTCGCTCCATAGCACCGCGAGCAAGCTCACCACGCCCGAGGTTCGTCAACCGACTTGCCACCCGGCGGTACAGCTCCTCCAGGTCCGACATCATCACCTCCTACCTACCCT